AGACTGCGGTGTCCACCTCTGCCTCGCAATTCTTTACCTTTGTCACCCAGCTTTGGGCTGCTGTGTCCGCCTCTGCCTGGCAATTCTTTACACTTGTCTCCCAGATCTGGGCGGCTGTGCGCGCCCCTGCCTTGCAATCCTTTACATTTGTCTCGCTGTGTCTACATGTGTCTCTCAGCTCTGGACTGCTGTGTCCGCGTTTGCCTTGCAATCCTGTGTCTCCCAGCTCTGGGCGTCGCAAACTCTAGTTGCAGAGTGTTCCGATTTTGACAAACACAGGCTGTTTGGGGCCTACGGAGGTATATTTTTTGAAGATTAGTTTAGTGTACTTTAGTGTTGTGATTTTCCATAGTTGTTGTTGCTTTTGCTATCGTCATAGCCATAGCTTTAGGTTCAGCTGTGCGCGTTTTGTTGCAGTTTTATCGCCAGCGGCGGCAATAGCCGGCGACTGCAATAGCCGGCGACTGCAACGGCATCACCGTCGTTCAGTGGTTGTGATGCCGTGGTTGTGGACGCTGCTACAGTAGGGGCGCTCCTGGCCTTACTACTAGGAACAAGAAGCTACTAGTAACAAAGGGCATCGCTACTAGGAGCAAGGACGCTACTAGTGATGCTGGTGGCATTGGTTTTACGAACAGTAGCAGTAGAGCAGGAGAGCAGGAGAACAGCAGCAGTAGAAGCAGCAACAACAGGACTAGCACGATTAGCGGGGGTGGCTGTCGTCCTTTCTTGTTGTTGTTTTTGTTTGCTGTTTGATATTTGCCAGTCTCTTGTTTTGCTGTTGTTCCACTTGCTCGATGAACGCCTTGCAGGAAAGTGAAGCAATTGCATCTGCACTTTCTGTGGTTCCCGCGCAACCATCAGATGCACTCCCAAAGCAAGAGCCAGGCCTGGTAGTTGAGGATCTTACTGAGCTTCCAGGAACTGTCCGAGATGTTGACCAGGGAGGCATGCCAGCTGGGACAATGACAGGAGGCATCTCAAGGGAGTCTACCCCGGAAGGAGATGCTGCAACAGACAGGACTCGAGGTTCGACATTTGCTCCAGCACATCTCAAAGGCTTTTCAAGGGACTTCCCCCCGAAACTGATGTGTAAAGATGGAGACAGCAAGAGCTGCCTAGCGAAGGCATCAAAGACTGTAACTTGTCAGTTTTTCAATTGTCCGGAATGGTGAAGAATGTCAAGCTGAGAGGAGACGACGGAATATGCAAGACATTACTCTTTTTAACCCCAGACTAGATGCCAAGCTACAGACTGCTCACACTCACAAACACCGTCATTCTTCACAGGTGCTGCGTGGGTTAGGATTTTCCTGCAAGATGTATAGATCTCAGACGTTCGCTTGCGATCGTGAGGACGTCAGAATTGATCGTGAGACGCCTGAGAATGATTTTCTCCAGAAAGTGTAGTACCTGCACCTGCTCGTCTTTGCTTCGCTGCTCATTGGCCATCCGACAAAAAAAGGGACGTGCGAGGCCGCGAGGCCGCACGATCCGAACATGGTCGTTGGCCGTCTCTGCCCGGTCCGTCCGCCTTGAGAGGCGATATGGGGTAAATATATACATAGGGGGACCCCCGAAATCTCGCCCCGGTTTTTGGGTAGATCGATTTTCCTTCGATCGACGGTTTTGAGAGTTTTTTTTTCTGTTTTATTGTTATTTTATTAGTGTTTTTTGTTTCGATGGATCGTCTTGGCAGTGCCAACGCGGAAAGATGTTGAAAAATGAAGCCAAAGTCTGGCAAGGCATTTGGAAAGAGAGGGCCCGTTCTTTTCCTTCAAAAGGGACTCGAGATCTCTGAAAAACGTCGTGCTAGCAGTGTGATTTGGGGTTCCCAGAAATGCCAGGTTTATCAGAACCCCCAACCAAGTCCTGCGCTCCCTCCCTGCCGGGCAGGACTCCCAACCCCAGCCCGTTGGCCGCCGTTCGTGCCATTCTGAGGCCTGGTGCGACCAGTGTCTCAGGTCCTGGCCGATCCCATGGCGTGGAACCAGGCAGATCCGGCGCACAAGCCAAACGGTAGACCGGGAGCTGGCTGCAGAATTTGGGTGTGTTTCGAGGTGTTTTTTTTTTAAATGTGTGTTGGTGTTTTTTTCTCCGAAGGGTTTGAAACGGGCGAGATGTGTTTGTTCGTGTTCTTTTTCTCCATGGTTGCAACTGGCTCGTGGCAATGCTGACGTCGAACCGGACTGCTTTGGAAGACTTAGAGCCGGTTGGACCCCGCAGCGCGGCGACGGAAGTTTCCTTGGTACCCCGGTTAACATGAACAGCTATCAACTGCCCGGAATTCTTGGACCAACGGTGGGTGGGTTAACGGTGTTCACCATTGGTGTTCACCGCGTCTTTCCGAACTGTTCGAGGCTCCAGTGGTGGTGACGACGCTTTCCAATGGCGTCAAGGTGGGCGGTCCGTGCAAATGTGTCGAATGCGGTGGGGAGGGTGGGAATACTGTGCGGTGGGGAGGGTGGAGGGGTGGAGGGTGGGGGTACAGTGTTCTTTTTTGCATGTTTCACGACGAACTTGTTTCACGTTGTTCCACGCTTTTGTGGTCTTCCAGTTTGGGATTCACTTCTAGGTGGACCCCGATGCCATTGGCGACATGGTCAGAGCACTCGACAGTGAACCAGATGTTTCAAGCGCCCAAAACGCCCTGCCACACCAAGACAATCCCCAAGCGTGTCTACGACTACGAAGTCCGTTCTCATCGTAAAAGCACACGGCTAGGCGGCGGGAGGTTTGGTTTCGCAAAATTGGATCCTTCACCTTTGCGACCTCCACCATCCATGGAGTGCCCCAGTGAGCATCCAAGCTGTGTGTCTTTTTCCGGAAGCCAAGACTTAGTAAAAGGATGTCAAAGGAACCTCTTCCTTGAAAACACCGCTGTGAGCTGAACAGCGGAGCCACTCCCCCCCCGTAGGTTGCGACCAAAGAGACTTTCGCTGAGGCATGTGAGGAAGGGGGGGTGAAGATAAGCTGGGCCAAGTGATGGGACTTGACTACCCCAACCCTTCTGAAGAAATGCTTTGAGCTGGCAACGCTGAAGTGGGACTGGCCAGGCATCATCATTCTTCAACTGGGTGTGTATTAATATAAGAAGAAGGGAAATATATGGAAATATACCAAACCCATTGGCCACTAGAAAGCCCTGCAAATTCCACAATTGGTAGAACGGCCTACATCCATTTAGCAGCATGTTGAAATGTATTGCCTTTGAGAATGCCACACATGAAACGCCCTGGCTTTGGTGCTGCGGGGTTTTCAACTAGAACTGCTCAGAATCCAACTGGGAAGCATGTGATCAGTCACATTTGCTGGGGTAAGCTGGGGGGCACCTCGGATCATCGACGGCAAAGGACGATCACCGCTCACCATGACCAAAGCTCAGATGTTTTGGGCCGAAAATTGGATACATCTCTCAAGGCCTTTCAGGTGGGCTCAAGGCCTTTGAGGTGGGTTTCCTCCATTTAGTTTGGAAACCTTCCAAGTCCAGAATGAGTCTATCTGTGTGGGGAGGGCATACCAAGCATCCAACAAGCAGGGCGGCTCGTCACGTAAACGTCCTGGCGGCTCGTTCGGGGGGGGTAGGATTTGAGGACCGAAATCGAAGCGGAGGGGTGTCCAAACGAAAGCACGGCGCATGTTCGGAATATATGTTGGAATATTTTGAGGATTCCAAGAATAATTTTAATACATGTCTGTCCGACTTTCCTTTGTTTTACTTAAAGAGCTTTATAAAGCCAGGCCAAGCAGCCTTTTTAGTTTTAAATGTTCTTGGAAGGCTAGCGATATTGATCTATTGGTTGCAGACCAAGAAGAAGAATGTGCATCGATTTGACCATACATGGTTGTGTCTTGTCCAGCAAATCTTTTGCACAAGGTCCCCCTATTGAGCTATTTCAGATTATTTCAGTCATTTTCAGTCCCTCCAAGCTGTTTTGTTTTTTTTAAACGTCCTCGAAGCCGGTGAGTGGGTCGTGTTTGGCCGAACATCTGGCCGTTTGGCGAACATCGCTTTTTGGGGATGGACATGGAACAAAAAACACGGAAAAATCCTAGAAATCACCAGACCTGGTGTTGGGGAGTCATGGATCAGCAGTTCCATCTACGTTGAAGGTCAGAACGTGGAATGCCTGAGATACAAGACATTACAAGACAATGTTGTCCTATTTTGTCCATTTCCAGTGGCTGTTTGAACATCCCAGCTATAAAGTTATTTGTGTTATTTTACTTTCTTTTTAAGCTGACCACATTTCTTGTTCTCGGCAATGGCTTTCAGCTCTTTTTCCTCTCATGCCATCTCCTTCCGGCCCTCTTTGGCTCAACCCACCGCTGGGGCGGGTCCCTCAGCTGCTTTTTTGGCCTTTCCCGTTTCCAAAGAGGCAGGTGACGGGCCGGCGCTTGGTTGGCCCGGTTTGGTTCTGGAAGACGGCACGGTCGGCCGCCGGTGTCCTGCTGGGATGTCCCGTTTCCAAAGAAGAGACGGCACCGATTTGGGGAGGGGCGCAAGTGCAGCTGCAAGAAATGATGCTTCCTTGACTCAGATCTGCAAGAACTGGAGCTGCAGGTGCATGCGAATCCTTCTAAACCTTCTCCATGGTTCTCGGTCCATTCGACTGGTTTGATGACGCTCCTGAACCAAAATGCCATATAAGAAGGCCATACCCAAACACTCCATGGGACCGCCATAGGACTGCCAATCAATTGACCCCTAACACCACCACCCCCCCCTGGCCGTTTGCAGTCCGGACTGCCAGGGCCCTGACGGGTCGTGTCAGCTGGTCGCGACCGTTCACAGCAAACTGGATCCTACGAAAAAAGACGGCTTTGGTCATGAAAAAAGGCATATCCAAGAAACCATTGGTCGGTACAGTCATTGGTCGGGATGAACCGTTCTTAGTTCTGATCTTCAAGAAACCATTGGTCGGGACAGTCATCGACACTGTTGGGGGACGACCACATCCTTTCTTTCAACGGGCCATCACCAGCCATTGCAGCCATTGACCGGCATTCGTCCGGAGCTTACCCGGAAGTCTGGGCAGCCCATGTGGTTCTCTAAAAACCTTTGGTGGATGACATCCCCCCATGCACAATCTCAAGATATCTCATTGACTCCATACCCAAACCATCCTTGAATGGCATTTTTCCATACATTGACGGTTCCAACCACCCCAACTGATCGGAACACACCTTGCCAGTCCCATTCGTCTGATCCGGGGCTAAGACTCCCCATCCATGCACCGGACAGACCGGACGTCGATGCCCGAGTCGCCCCGTCGCCCTTTCGTCGCAGGCGGCGTGGCGATGAGATCGGATCTGGGCCGCGCCCATGTCTTGCCAATCTCACCCAGGCGTGAAGCAGCAACTCCGGATGAGCAATGAGCGGGATGAACATATCAAGCAGTTTGGCGGGGGTTCGAGTCATGAAGTGCGGCCAGAAGACGAGATGTTGTTTTGGGAGTTTGGGGGGATCCAAGTATCCCATTACCAGTACTCAGTTGGTAGAAGATGAGCACTATTTTTTTTGGGAAAGTCTGCAATCGAACTGTTACCGATATAGATACTGTATACCAATCATTATAAACTAATATAGCAATAGAACTCTGCAGACAGAACACTCCAAACAAATTACTGTAAGTCTACCTTCCGAACTACGTCCCATGGTACCTGGATTTCACCACCGCGGAATTGATCCTGCGGAAGTCTGTGGAGGTGCCTTGGGTTCCAGCAACCACGTGCGGTCACGTGCGAAGTGCAACCGGTTGTGGGAGTGTTGGAGTGCTTTGGGTTCCAGGATGGTCCAGGCAAAGTTGGGTGAATTCTGATGAATTCTGATTCTACCTGGTGGATCTACCAAAAGCGCCACTGCGGAGGGTAGTGGCGGGTCATCAAACTGTCCCAAGGCTCTCCTTTTGGGCTTCTGAAACTCACATCCGTCGCACTCCCCATCCTCAGTGTTGGACGTTGAAGACATTCTTCTCGACACCGCTGTGAATCCAGGTTTGATGGACAAAATTGACAGCAAACATACAATATACCTGGACCCTCTAAGGGGTGCCATGTCTGGAAGCCTATAGGTAGTGTGGGGTAGTCCATTGGACACCCCTTGGAGGGTCCTGGTATATCAGCAGTTTTGCTTCTATATCTCTTTGGATGTTCAACCAACACCCAAACAACACTGACGGGGTTCGAGACCCAAAGGCCCCTCCCTCCGTCCATCTGCACTGGCTGCAAACGTGGTTTGCTCCAGTCCTGGCACTGGCTCCTCATTGAGTAATGCCTTGAAGCAGCTCAGAGCCACCAGAGGCCCTGCTCCGGCCGTTAGCGGCCGTGTTTTGCGGGCGTGTTTGCGCGGACGTGTTTGTCGGGAGAGAACTCCACTGGAGTTCGGAATTGTATCGATTCTGGATGGCCTGTGAAGATGAAAGCACAAGGATCACGCGTGGATCACGCCATGGAT